TACAATACTTGACTTGGTGAAGTTATTAAAAATTAGCAGTGAAACAAAATGAACGCTAAATTTGAAAAATGTTTTAACATCTCCACCAAATCAAAATTTTCAATAGCTATTTACTATTTTTTGTACAAAACTAAGCCGTTTTACACTGCAACTCCCAAAATTTCCTAAAATAAGAAAACGTATTAATTCGGCTCGATAAACATATAAGAAAAGTAAAATACAAGATAATACAAGCAATCAATAACGATGGTGTTTAAAATTTGTAGATTTAAAAGAACAACATTATAAAAAATTAGTATTCAATAAAAAGAAGTTACTGCGAACGGTTAATTTAAAAATTGGGAAAAGGTCGTTAAACATGGATAGTAGGTGCGGCGGAAAAAAAAGGTTAGAAGCGAAATGTGGTGTTATAGGCGACTGATGAGAATACCATCGAAATAAAAAAAATCATATACCGAACAATTTTTTATTTCAGTGTTCTATTCTATTATTATTTCTTACAATTGGGTCAATATTCAATTTCAATATTGGGATAAAAATCTACATTGGGCCAATAAAAAAAAATCTAACGTTTCCATCATTGAACCAATATGTAAAATACCTTTCATCGAGTTTTTATGTAATTTTTTCATATTTGGGACATTTTAAGCCATTTCCAAAAAAAGAGCTGTCATCGAAAAAGCCGTGATACGGAAGTTTGTAATGTCGATGACGACTGACTAACTTCGCTTACCACTTTTGTCCCTCGGATGCAACCTCGCTTACAATAAACTTAATTTTAAGGACGAAAAGGAAAGATCTTCCTCCAACTAATCGCTAAACGCTATTGTTTTTAAACTGTTGTGGTTAGTTGGGGTAAGACCTTTCCTTTTTGTTTATCATTACGCCACAGTTTCCTCTATATCTATTTTAATTTTAAGATATTAAGATCATTCTTTTTTAATTTGTGATTGTTATCGTTAATGTTTCAGTGCTAAGTACCGTTTTAAAAATGTTGTGTAGAATATATATATAGCGTTTTTACATCAAGTTTTATAATTTAATCGTTGTTACAGTGTAATTTCAGTTGTAGTTATTAGTATTAGGGATAATTATACAATATTTAGCATGGTGTAATTTTTAATATTTATATAAGTTACTGCATTGACTGCTGTAGTGTATAAATGTACATTATTACAAATATCACCCTGTTGGGGCCTCTCAAAACATTTGGTCCCAATAGATAAATTCTGCGAAGGCTTCGTCGGTCAGCTACCCTTATTTAATTGCACTACGCTGTAATGTTGTCTATGTATTTTTGGGTCTTTTCCTATACTTTTCTATAGCTTTGTTCTCGCAGGTACTGGTGGTGGTAATATTATAGTTTGATTTTATTCCATTTTCAGCAGTAGCTTAGTTCAGTTCAAAAAGTTAAGTTTTGTCGTTCAGCTTAACCAGATCTATGTTTTGTCGCTAAATTTGTCTTCCGTTTTTACATTGTCTTCATGTTCTGAATATGTTTAAGTGTTGTAAATAAAGTGTGTACATAGTTTTGTTTTACACTGGAATTTTATTCACTTTGGTCATTTATCCGAAAACATTCTGAGAAAATACTGCTCGTGGAAACACGGCAAACAATCGTTACCTTTGCATTGATCAAAATATTTGTTTAGATTAATCTTAGTTACAACATTTTTTCAATAGGTGTTTTTGAGGTTGATTTACTCCAGGGATACATTCCAAAATGTTTGTGCTCACAATTTTGATTACTTATGGGACGGTTTCCACATTTGGCAATATTTTGAAAGCTGGAGATATGAGTGTCGAAAATTTTATTGAAAGCAATGCTCAGTTTACTGCCGATTTATATAAGGTATGTATTGTATTAAACTTATAAATAAGTGTATAGGTAGATACACAATTATTACTTACATAAAGGTAAATTAATAACCAATACATGTCTTTCGATTTATTTTATTCCATTTTTTAAATTGAACATAGATTTTGTACAGGGTATCCCATTTTTGGCCATATACCTCCCTTATTATTAATGATAAAGGGTTGCAGTTTCCACGACATGTGCTACTTCTTTGTGAAATTAAATACGGCGCAAGTAGAACATTCATATTATTTTTCGTTTTTGAGATATAGGGTGGAATTGAAAAGTATCACCTTTGAGGCAACCCTCTTCCGTATCTCAGTTATCTCTAAACTTTTCGAAGAAGGTAGAATATATTCTTACAGAATTTTTTCTAAAGAATCGACTGGCGTATTCAACTCTTTTCTATTACCTTCAATGTTTTAGTAATGACGCAAACATAGGTTTTTGTATATGGAAAACCCTGGTATATTATTTTTATATTTAATAGGTGTAATGTGGGCTTTCAAACAATATATAACCACATACCATTATTTTAAGAAGTAAGCTCATAATTTAAGATTTTCTAAAATTTTGTTGTGTGTATAGTGACTAAAATTTATTAAAAAGAAAATCAAATTAAGAAATTATTGTACTAAAGACGTAATACTTTTAAACTTAATTCAAACGATCATTTTTAATTATTTATTACATTATTTTAACTGATAAAATTATTGAATTTTACACAAAACAAAATAGTAATTACCTCTCGTACTTAAAACTTAAGTTAGAAAAAACAAAAGAGAAACAGAAGAGAGAAGCAAATAGTTTTAAAAGTTGTTTTTAAAATGATGGTTATTTTTCCCTATACAAAATTAGCACATTTTCGTTATTTTCCTGACAGCGTTCAAAAGCATCAAAGGCCTTTGCAAATTTTGGAAGGTACAGGATACCCTGTACATTTCCAAATATAGACTTCAGAAAAGTCATAAACGTAAATTCTAGTAATGAAACAAAAGTAAAACCATCGAAGAAATTACCATTTAAAATTAAAAATGCAGTTATCAATGAACCAAAATTTTCTTCTTTTTTGCAGTCAAAGCTACTGTGACTTAAAATCATAGCCCAAATCGTAGTTGTTTTATTACGTACAAAGATACCTAATATTAATTAGTTACTGCCGGTTACCTGATATATCATTTTATATACATAGACCAGTTTTGATTTGGTGTCAGAAATGTATTGAACGCACAATGTGTTGATGAGAACTAAAACATATGAGTTCGATGTCGCGGTCCATACATAATGGTTTCGATAAATTGCTAACTAAGAACTAGGCTTAATGTTCTCTATTTTGTATCTATCACTTATATAAGCTGCATTTTTAATTCATTTTGACAGTTTGTTGCTTTGTTAATATTAAAGTAGTAGTAAATTTTAACAAAAGATGATACACTATCGGTTGCTTGATATTTTTTTGAAGTTTATAAATATTATTGAAAAAATGAAACTTAACTAAAATGTTTTATGTACATAAATTACTCTGGGTTTGTTAGTTTACCTGTATTTTATTTCATATTATTTTACGTTTTTTAAGCATTTTACTATAAGTGACTCTTACAGGAAATATCAGGATTGTCTTATGGGAAAAGTTTCTTATTCAGTCCATTTTCAGTAGAAGAGATTTTGGCTTCGGTATGGTCCGGTTCGAAAGGAAAAACAGCTCTAGAAATACAAAGGACTCTTCACTTACCAGATAAATATGAGGATATAGAGACAGTATTTCAGTCAATTTTACCAAAGTTGAAGAGCAATAACAATTTATACAATTTGACACTGGCAAACAGAATATATGTCAAAGATACTTTCGTCATTAACCCAATCTATAAGAAGAGAGCTAAACAAATTTATTCTGTTGACGTTGAAAATCTCAATTTTAATGAAGCTGAAATAGCTTCTGCGTACATAAATAGATGGATAGAAAAACAAACAAATTATAGGATTAATAACCTATTATCACCAGACGAGTTAACAGATTTGACGCAACTACTATTAATAAATACTTTGTATTTTGGTGGAAAATGGGAAAAAAACTTCAATGATCCTCTAACAACCACAAAAAAGATATTTTATAATAGCGCGGCAGATAAAGTAGAAGTAGATACAATGTCAATGAGAGATACTCTCAGATATTATGAATGCCATGCTGCTAAAATCTTAGAATTGCCATACGAAGGTGAAGAAATAAGTATGATTATTGTTTTGCCCAATGCAGCTGATGGCTGGAAAAATTTAACCAACTTCAGTGATGACATTTTTAAATATCCAAATTATACTCTGGAATATGTACATGTTGAGTTGCCTAGATTTTCTATTAGCTACACGATTGACTTTAAACATACATTACAAAAGGTAGGTAAGGTTTTAGAAATAATAAAAGAAAGTTATTTAGAGTTTGTGACCAGTTATTGTCATATGTGCTTGTGGTGAGCAAAAGAAGAATGAATAATACCACATCGTAAATCATACTAATAAAAATTATTTTTAATTTAATTACTTGTCAATATTTTTACGGTTGTACTTCGAAATAGAATAACAGAACCCTTATAGGATGTCATTATTGTCTGCTTGACTAAAACAGATTTCTTTAATAAAATTTGTAACGACACTAAAACTATATGTTATTAGCTAGGGATAGTAACTGCATTTAATAAAGCCGATTTTGGAAGAATAATCAATATCACTACAGAAGATGTGGCTATTAGTAGTGTACTGCAGAAAACTTACATTAATGTAACCGAAGACGGAACTGAAGCAGCCGTTGCATCTTCAGGTATGTTTTTTGTTAAATTTTACTTCAATAGGGTACTATACATATTCATCATCATAAAGTCTTCAGTCCTAACACTGGTTGGACACGTACCTACACTTTTTCCTATCCTGAGCGTTAATTTCGTGTAACTATCATCATCATAAGCATTCCGCATTTCCCTAAAACTAGAACAGCCCACATCCTTAACTATTTGCGAACAGTAATCTAATCTAGGTCTACCTCTACCCCTCCTAACTCCTGTTTCNTCCATTATACAAATGTTCTACCTTTTTGCAAAACTCTAAAGAACAAAGGCTAAATTTGATTAAAGGATTAAAATTATGCATAAACTGTTTCGGCACTAATCATGTAGTTAGAACTTGCAAATACGGTAAATGCAAAATATGTAAGGGACGACATAACACATTATTACATTTTGATAGGGTAACACAATCACCGAATTCAACAATTCCGCAGGCGGTTGAAAGTCCGATTACCGCATCAAATCAACCTTCTACGAGTTCCGACGGTGTATGCGCGTACCTTGCATCATTTTCGGAGGTTTTACTTTCAACGGCCGTAGTAAACGTATTAGACTATGAGGGTAACAAAAAAGAATGTCGTGTTCTCCTTGATCAGGGCTCTCAACTGAATTTAATTACGGAAAATTGCGTCAAACGTCTCGGCCTCAAAAAACAGAACTCCCAAACATGTATTAGTGGTGTAAACGCTCGAGAAAGTGTAGCCAATCGAATGGTACAAGTGGAAATTCAGTCAAGATATTCATATTTTCGTAACTTATTAGAATGTGTAGTACTTTCCACAATCACGAAACAATTGCCATTAGTGTCATTCGATGCGCGCAAATTCAATATTCCAGGTAATTTAAAACTCGCGGTCCCTGAATATCATATCTCCCGTGAAGTAGATATGTTGTTAGGTGCAGAAATTTTCTATCGTTTGTTGTGCGTAGGACAGATTGCGTCCACTGGTAGTAAAACACCATTGTTACAAAAAACTCAGTTCGGCTGGATTGTAAGCGGTAGGGTTCCATCAAATCGCACCACCAAGGTGTGTAATTTGTCAGTCAATGAACAGCTTGACCAACACCTTCAGAAATTTTGGAAGGTCGACGACATCATTCACAGTAATAACTTTTCTCCCGAAGAAAACGAGTGCGAATTGCACTTCGTAGAAACTCACCGTCGCGATCCTCTAACAGGCGCATTCATCGTTAGGCTTCCGTTCAAAAAGGACCCGTCTGTTTTAGGCGAGTCAAAGAGCTTAGCTCTTAAACGCCTTCTTTCTATAGAGCGTAAATTAAAAAGGGACTCGCAACTACAGAATCAGTATGAAGCTTTTATACAGGAAAACATTCAGTTAGGGCATATGTCGCTTATTAATGACAAAAAAGCATTCCCGGGGATAACATATTACATGCCGCATCATGCAGTGCTAAAGGAGAGCAGTATAACAACTAAACTCCGCGTAGTTTTTGATGCCTCCGCGAAAACTTCAACTGGTCTTTCTTTGAATGATACCTTGATGGTCGGCCCTACAATCCAACCGGACCTATTTTCTGTCTTAATCACGTTTCGTATTCATAAATACGTTCTTTCAGCCGACATAACGAAGATGTATAGGCAAGTACTCGTTGCGACTGAAGATAGACCCTTACAACGAATCCTATGGCGATCGGAAGCAACAAGCGAAAAATTGACCTATCAGTTAAACACCGTGACATACGGTACGTCTTCGGCCGCGTTCTTAGCAATTCGATGCCTACATCAATTGGCCCGCGAAAACCAGGCTTCTTATCCCTTGGGCGCTAAAGCAATTTTGGAAAACTTTTATGTAGATGACCTTTTAACAGGTAGTAGTAATATTGATAATCTTCTCGCGATTCGTGATGAGATCATAGTTATTCTTAAAAAGGGCAATTTCGAATTGCGCAAATGGATCTCTAACGAACCTAAATTATTGAACGGGATTGACGGACATGCGGAGAACGCAATTCTCACCGTCGATAAGGACGCCAATCTGAAAACTTTAGGCTTACAGTGGAATTCAGTAAACGATTCCTTTCAATTTTCAATAAAGGCTTATAACCAACCTCAAAAGGTTACGAAAAGGTCGATTTTGTCGGACGTTGCCCAAATTTTCGACCCTCTAGGTCTTCTCAGCGCTGTCACAGTCACAGGAAAATTATTGTTGCAAAGACTCTGGCAACTAAAATTAGATTGGGATGAAACGGTTCCCTTAGATATACATACCACCTGGTTTCGTTACAGGCAGTCGTTAGAGTATCTCAACAGGCTTAGAATTCCAAGAAACGTGGTATCCTTTAGCCATTCGCAGTTTGTTGAGCTCCACGGTTTCTGCGATGCGAGTGAGCTCGCTTATGGCGCATGCGTTTACATTAGGATGTTAGATAAGGAAAACCGTTATCATTGCAACATATTATGTGCTAAATCTAGAGTTAGTCCATTAAAGGCTCTAAGCATCCCTAGGTTAGAACTCTGCGCCGCGGTTCTGTTAGCTCGGTTGGTAAAAAAGATAGCGACAACGCTAAACCTTCGCGAAAATCGTATGGTACTGTGGACCGATTCATCCATCGTTTTGGCCTGGATAAAATCCACTTCCCGTCTTTATAATACATTCGTGGCAAATAGGATTAGTGAAATACATGAGCAAACCGAAATAAGCAATTGGCGCCACGTTAGCACGTTTGACAATCCCGCGGACTTGTTATCCAGAGGCGTGGCACCCAAGGAAATAATCGAAAACTCTTTATGGTGGCACGGGCCCCAGTGGCTATTACAATATGAAGATCATTGGCCTATATCGCATTCAAAGAACAAGTTTGATAAAGGTTTACTTGAAATTAAAAAGACAGCCGTCGTTCAAATCAATGCCGCGGATGAAGTATTTCACATATTTCTTGCATTTTCATCGTTTATGAAACTCGTACGAGTAGCCGCTTACTGTTTGAGATTTGCTCTTAACTCGCGGTCTATTA